AGTGTCTGAGAGTGCAAGTCTGAGAGTGCAAGTGTCTGAGAGTGCAAGTTCGAGAGTGCGAGTGTCTGAGAGTGCAAGTCTGAGAGTGCAAGCGCCAAGCTGCAGCCAGACCCTTTTGGCCTCCTCCTCAGACTTGATGCACATGCAGGTTGCCAGATTGACAACACCAACAGGAACGAGTGCACTCGATGATGAATGAAATGAAATCCGCTCTGTTTTCCGCCAACTGCCAACCCGGGCTGAGGAAATACAATTGGGTAAACTGGCAGTGGGCGGGTATCACAGACCAAAACAGAGACCGACATTCCGGCCCGGAACGCACATTTTCAAAGGAGAATAACTGACTATAGCATTGTTTTTCAGATAAACAAGTATGTTAACTTAGCATGTTTCTTAAATATCTGCAAACATATTATGGTATTTTTATGCTTTAGTAGAGTGAAAAACATGTGAAACCGGGGTATAGGACCTGAAGCCTAACAGTCAGGCGCAAACAAAATCAAGGCCTGTGTTGGCTGTCAAGGGTAAATCTTTCCACCAGATGGCGCTAAATACTACAATTTCAGAACGAGCACAATCTGCAGTTTTCCCTCAAGATTCCCTAAATGTTTTAATGAGAGACCTTTTGAGGCTGAGAAAATAAGACAACAAAATTGAATAGATAAAAAGATCGTTAAGACAAACTTTGATGTTGTCTTGAGAAAGCCTAGCCTGAAAGCTTGTTGTAGCTTGAAGTCTGAAATGGATGGATAGATAGATAGATAGATAGATAGATAGATAGATAGATAGATAGATAGATAGATAGATAGATAGATAGATAGATAGATAGATGATCTAATAATGATCTAATGCGTTTTACTGCTTTTGGTTCTTGAGCAGAAATAAACTTATGCAGAACAAATCTACTGTTATATTTTAAAGTGCAGGGGTACTACAAACACATGTTAGTTACATTTATCAGTAGCTTTGCTCATTTTAAATCATAGCTTTTAAGGAACATCTATTTTAGTGATTAATAGCGGTTAATATTGACTGTCAGTCTAAATGTAACGTAAGGACATAAATGTAACGTACGTACGTTACATTTACCTTGATAATATGTCCCGGTTTTATGTCGGCTGTTTAGAACATAGACTACAAAAAAAACGAAGCAGGTTTATAATCAGAGCGACGCCCTTTTCGCCAAAGAATCACTCTTGCGAGTCGATTAGTTTTAATGAATCGGTCACAGATCAAACAGTCTGGAATGATTCACTCTTACGATTACGAGTCAATTATGAATCGGTTTCAGGGGTTGTCATCTCTCGCGTACAGATTCGTTTGAATCGTTGTCTAATTTCATAAAAAACTGGCGTGTTTATGAACGGAGGACAAAAAGAGCAATTGAATAGTTACCGACAACCCAGTGAAACCATCAACCCGCAAATTCACTCTATGATTTACCACATTCCAGTCACGAAGAAAAACAAATCTTACAACACCTGCAAGCACGTACAGCCTGAAGTTCTGCAGGTAAAGATATTTCCCAGCCACAAGACTACCAAAATATCAACAGTGCATGAAAGTACTTAAAGTAAAAAGACTTTTCTGTTTGTATGTTTGTGCGTGTGTGTGTGTGTGTGTTTGTTACACCCGCACTGTGATATTGTTGAAGTAGGCCTACCTTGTAAATACAACTGTTTATGGTAAACATTCAGTTTAAACACAGCGTTGGTTCATTTCCCCTTTTTTAATTTAATTGGCAAATTACTGCTTTTTAATTTCAATATTACATAATTATGCAAAATATGAATAGTACTGTAAGTTGCTTTCTC